TTCCAACCTGGTTCATTCTATGATTTTTCTAATCTTGTGCTAGTGCCATGGTGTACCTTGTTGCTGAGAACTGCAACTGTGCATTTAATTGTTAATCTAGTCCACACATGAACGAAACTAGGAAATGATTGTGGAATTAGATTCCTTTTAGTAAGTGCCTGAAGTGAAAACAAGAAACCTGAAAGTAAGTCTGATTAATATTTATGAGTAACTCGAGTCCCCTCTATTAGATGCAGACTTGAACTCCATTAACACGTGGTTCACTGAGGCTTGGCATTTATGCATATTGAGGTTGCTGCCTTGGATTTCCAAGGTCTGTTTTATGGAATATTTGGAGCTCTCACTTGCTAATTAGCATTATGCAGACATGGAGATGACAGAACTCTCCAGTGCCTGGTAATCACAAATTACTGACCTTTCAATTGCCAAGCCTAGTATATTGCTGCAAGTGTCATCACCCTGCACATGCACCTCACAAGTTAGATCACCCAAAAGGGTTTCAAAGATAACATTCTCCCAAAAGGACTTGATTATCTTAAGTATTTCTGCACCAAATTATAGCTAGCCTCAGAGTTAAATGCTTTGAATTCCAACTCTAGGCCAAGTTTGGAAAGTGACTGATTTTTCTAAGGAATGAATTGACACCTCAGATGATAAAATTCTCATGCCTGAGGATTTTGTTATAAAAATGTTATGATTTCTGTGAATATCTTGGTTGAAATGGAATGGGCAGGAAAAGCAATAGGAAATTGGGCATTTTTGCCAGTTTGATAGGGTCAACCATGCTGAAGTGTTATTGCAGTTAAATTAGTAACTGTTTTGTCAGTGTGTCTGTGTCTCTGTGTGTACACACACATGTATATAAATATATACTGTAATGGTAACTGGTTTATACAGAGAGACCAGAATTACCAGCCTGATCTGTCCCTTCCCAGCTAATATTATTACATAAATATGACCATTCAATGACTCACAGTGCTCTGCAGTCTCTAAAAATGTGGATTCCTTTTGGGTGTTAATTGAGAGTGATTGTGCCATTGTCAGATACAATGGAAGGGATGTTGCAGTAGCAGGATCTGGGAGGCTCTGGGATGCTTTGTTCTTCCTAGCTTGCCAGGGCACTGTCATTTATCTCAGCTCCAAACAGGCTTGGTTCATTTCTGTAGGGATGTTTTTGGAAAGGTTGGTGGATTATCAATAGTTACTTTAGATGTACATGCCAAAGGGAAAGAAACACAGAGGAAACAGTAATAAAAAAAAGAGGTTTAAATTCCTTCGTGGATTTTGTTATGAATAGTAAAAGGGCACAGCAGTCAAATCAAATTGATGCCTGACAGTCATGGGAGATGTGAATTTTCCTGTGGGAAGTACTGAGAGCTGATTGTCAGTGCTTCAGCTACTAATGCACAGCCCAGAAATATTGCTCTCTCTTTGGACTTGGGTTCTTTTCTCTTCCATAGCCTCTGTGAGTTTTATTCATAGACCTTGGGGAGGACTTGAAAGGGCACAGCAGTCAAATCAAATTGATGCCTGACAGTCATGGGAGATGTGAATTTTCCTGTGGGAAGTACTGAGAGCTGATTGTCAGTGCTTCAGCTACTAATGCACAGCCCAGAAATATTGCTCTCTCTTTGGACTTGGGTTCTTTTCTCTTCCATAGCCTCTGTGAGTTTTATTCATAGACCTTGGGGAGGACTTGAAAGAGAGACAGGGGGTCCACTGAGGTTTTTTTCAAAAGAAATCCAAATGTTCTAAGATATGGAAATGCAGTAATGACCCCCAATTATCTATGTGTGCAATATCTATACTGTTACAATTAATAATTTATTGTCCCTATGTCCTGGATTAGAAGACTTTTAAAGATTCATTAGGATTGACTTTCTTCTTTGGGGATGCTCTTAGGTATTTTGAAGATTGAGCAGGGTAATTTGGGAGAAGATACATTGCCTTCTGCAGATGTCGAGGTTCAATTCCTGCTTCGAGCACAGAATTAAACTCAGAGTTAACTAGGGACCGAATAATCTCTCTTGCAAATTCCTGAAATGCCTTTGCTAAAGTCCTTTGCCTCAGTACTTGCCCTTTCTACTTCAGCTTTTCATTCACATTCTTTGAGAAGCTATTTCTCCATCACAGCCTAGTGTTCCACTTCCAGTTGGAACTCACACATCCAAATCATCTGTGGGCTGCAGCTTTCTTAGTGTTCTGGCACTCTATCCTGCAAAATGCTTTTGCACAGCAGGTCATTGATCTTCTAGTCTAGCTTGAAGGTAGATGAAATGTCAATATAGCTTCTAGCCCTTTTTTTCTGATCTTTTTTTTCCAACGGTGTTTGGATTATAATACTGAAAATGTATTTCCTAATCGCTGGGTAAGGATTAGGGATCTGTACCATGAGAATTCTTCCCCCAGATTGAAGCCATATCCTAAACTGGGGAACATGCCAAGGCAGTGAATACTGTACTTTGTGGCCCTCTGTATTTCCTGCTCTATTTTCTAGAAACAATGAAGTTTATGACATTAAACCCAATAATCTAATTAGTCACCTGACCGTATCCCCAAGAGAGTGAGAAGGCCTCGATGCACGTGCAACGCTTCACTAAGAACAACACCAAACATTTAAAAATGAGTAAACCATCCAACATACAAAAAGAGGTTTGGCAGGAATTATTGCAGTGTCTTACACACCTCTGTCCACGTTGGCAGGAGCAAGCTCTGCTAAGTGAGAGTGTCCTTCATCTGAGGCCAAATCTCGTGGGTGAAATATGTATTCTAAGTCTAAGAATAAGCACTGTAGAGAGGGAGTGGATATACTTCTTTAGCTTGAAGTAACTGAAATGTTTTAATGGCATTAAAATGTGGCACAGCCAGAACCAGGAACCAGGACTGCTCTGTTTGAGGCACGTGGTGATACCATTTGTCTATCTGCTGCTGCCCAGGAGGCAGGAGTGGCACAGCAAAAGGGCAGAGGAGACTGGAAGAAGAAAGGCCAAGTGCTCCCCAGGGCCAGGAGGGAGTGGAGGGAGATGTCCAGGGCACAGTGAAACAGGGAACTGGGAGCACATGGGTACAGTTACTGCATGACCCAAGTCTCTGGGGGAAAACAGAAAGTGAAGGGAAACAAAAAGGCAGGAGAAGAACTGCACTGGAAAGATACTGCTAGTTAACAACAAATAAAACAAGAGACAAACAGCAATAAATCAAATCCCCAGATACCAAAACCCTAGGGAGATACCAGAGATGATTTCAGAGACCAGACCTGTCAGCAGAGGTTCAGCCAGAACTTTGCAACTTGTATGAAAAGAAGAAATAAGGTTATGGCAGGTCTGATGGGAAAGAACAAACTTCTCATGGCATATCTTAAAAGGATTGTGAGAACATGTGAAATTTGTCTTGAGATGTTAAAGGGAAGGGCCAAAGAGAGGAGGCAGAGTGGGTCAGGGAGGAACAAGTGTAGGAGACTAGAAAGGAGAGGACATGAAAGGGTGTGGTTGAGTGTCAGGATACTTGTCCAACTGAGATCTCTGGTCACTGCAGCCTGTCCCAGCTCCTTACTAAACTCAGTTCCGTGCTCTGTAACGAGTGCTACTAGTTACAGCAAGCAGAAGAAAGTTTCCTCCAAACCACAGATCTGCTTTCTAGAGCAGCCAGCTTCCCACGTAATTTATGAAATCTGAGGACATCTGAAACTAGGGTGCTGTGAGTTGAAATCTGCTATATTTGCAACTCCTGAGCAGAGAAGTCTACAGCGCTCCGCAAATGAAGCATTGAACGGTGCTGTATTTTTAAACTTGCGAAGACTTTCGAATACTGTGAGCAGTGATTTTTTTTTTTTTTTTGTTGCATTCTAACTGGTTTGACTCCTTGCTCTCCCCAGGGGAAATGGAGGAGTTGGAGACCCTGTGGCTGACTGGTATTTGCCACAACGAGAAGAACGAAGTCATGAGCAGCCAGCTGGACATCGACAACATGGCAGGAGTGTTCTACATGCTTGCAGCAGCCATGGCACTCAGCTTAATTACCTTTGTCTGGGAGCACTTATTTTACTGGAAACTTCGATTCTGCTTCACTGGAGTCTGCTCAGACAGGCCTGGATTGCTGTTCTCAATCAGCAGGGTCAGTGCTGCTTGCTTTTGTCCCCTTCAAGCAACAGAGAGAGCAAACACTGCTTCTCTAAAACATTCTCTCTCCTTTTATTCCCACCTGGACATTTGAAATACATAGTAGAGCATCAGTGTGATATGCTCTGGAGCAGTCAGTGGGCTTAGGATGTACTTGCACTCCATGGGAAGTCTTTATCCAATGGATTATTTTGGGTATGGATTATCATATGCCAGGATAATCAGTAATCAGATGCTGAAAACATTAAGGGGCAATTTTGATGAAGAAATGGGAAAGCTCAGGTGCAGGAAATGGATTCAGTTCAACCAAAACATCCAAACAAAATAAAAACTAATTTGATAAGAGACATTATCTCTCAGCTTTGTGTATTTCTTAAACAAGAAGATTTTAAGTTATAAAAATATAATGGAGTATTTCTATAAGCTTTTCTTGATAGCAAACTTGGATAAACCCTAAGAGAAAAGGTCAAGCACAAGGATCATTTATGACTGGTTAGACACTAAGGCAGGTTTTAATATTAACTTCACCAGACTAAAAGGGAATTTGCATATCCAAAAAGATGATACTTGTAAGAAAAAGGGAATTGTGTGCTTGTTCTTATATTTTTGAACAAGTAGTTGTTTTTTGTCATTATAATTTTGTAAAACATAGGATTTTCCTTAATTGATTTTGCTGGAATTTTTATATAGCTGAGGAGAACTGAAAATGATACTAAAATGCTAAATTGCTTTAAAATGTGCTGAAATTACCCTGTTGAGTTAATTGGACCCCATTGGAGCTGCATTAAAATTACTCTGCCCTACCCTGTTGGGGATTGTTTAGAAACCATCTACAGTTTAACCTCTGCATTTTACAACTGAACTTTATATATTTGGCCTTTTACTTAGGCAATTCTCCTAAGCAATGCAGGGGGGGAAGGTACTTATTTCAAAGGTAAATTTCTGAGAGTTGCTGATTCACAGGGTTGGAAATGTCAGCTGAGCTCACAGGAGTGACCCTGGAGGTTGGAGTTAGAGGATGGACTTCAGCCTTTTGCTCAAACTGAACTCAGGTTCAGGCTTTAGAAAGAGCTGCTTTTTTTTCATGTGTACTAGAATAGGAAACAGAAAAGCTAAAATGTGAAGACTAGCAGCCTTTTTATTTCAGTGCAAGTGAAGAGTACCTTAACCTCCAATAAAACAGCCTGACTACAGCCTTGTTTAGAGGGAAAACTCAATCACTGGTTTAAAATAGGAGAGTTTCCATTACTGAAGGTTAGTTTCATTTTGTGATGAGACTAGGGAACCCTTAGGGGTCCCTTCTAATCTTGTTTTCTGGAAAAAGCTGGAGAGGCCAACACAGACCACTGGTTTGTGAAGTATTGGCAATTTTCTCCTTTGTAGTTCCAACAGATAAGGCAGAAAATATTCTTCCATATCAGTGACAGGAAATGCTAAAAGGATAGAGATGCATTTTTAATCTTTCCAGTAATTAGATAAGCAATGCTTATTTTTTCTGTATTGCTAATTAAAAATAGAATGGAAGTATTTAAAATTTGCACCTGGTGATTGAATTTGTTTTCTATTACTCCTATTACAGGGTATTTACAGCTGCATTCATGGAGTACACATTGAAGAGAAAAAGAAGTCTCCTGACTTTAGTCTGACCAATTCCCAAACCAACATGTTAAAGCTACTGCGAACAGCGAAGAACATGACCAATATCAATCCTTCGAGAATTGACTCCCCCAAAAGAACAGCTGATTTTATTCAGAGGGGTTCTTTGATTATGGACATGGTCATGGATAAGGGAAACTTGATATTTGCTGATAACAGATCCTTTCAGACAAAGGACAACTTTTTTGGTGACAACATAAGTGAGCTGCAGACGCTTCCAGGCAATCGGCACAAGGACAATCTGAACAACTATGTGTTCCAAGGTCAGCATCCTCTCACACTGAATGAGTCCAATCCAAACACAGTGGAGGTTGCAGTAACGACAGAAGCAAAAGTCAACTCCAGACCCAGACAGCTTTGGAGGAAATCTGTTGAATCGCTACGTCAAGACTCTGTCCGGCAGAGCCAAAGTTCCCAGAGGGACGACGGGTCAGATGAGAACAGGCAGCATTCAGTGAAAAGCCAAAGATACCTTCCTGAAGAGATTGTCCATTCAGATGTGTCGGAGACATCCAGCAGAGCTACTTGCCATATGGAAACTGAAAGCAACAACAAGCACCACAAAACCAAGGACAACTTCAAGAAAAGGACAGCAGCATCAAAATACCCAAAGGACTGTAGTGACGTGGAACTGACATATCTGAAAACCAGACAGAGCTCTCCACGGGATAAAATCTACACGATTGATGCTGACAAGGAGCCAGGATTCCGCTTGGACACACCTCAGTACATTGAAAACATCGTCCTGCCAGAAACTGTAGAGTTCCCTGATGTTTATCAAGATCACAATGACAACTACAGGAAAGCTGAACACGCTAACAGGACTCCCTTGCATAATGAAGACAGTCTTCCAAATAACGACCAGTATAAACTTTATGCAAAGCACTACACTTTAAAAGAGAAAAACGCTTCCCTAGGTGACATGAATGACAGGTACAGGCAGAATTCCACCCACTGCAGGAGCTGTCTGTCCAACATGCCCACGTACGCGGGACACTACTCCACCAGATCTCCCTATAAATGCGACGCTTGCTTGCGGATGGGGAACCTCTATGACATTGAGGAAGATCAGATGCTGCAGGACACCACGAACTTATCACTTCCTGAAGAAATCTACGAGCGTACTTGGTCCCAAAGTAGCGCTCTGCAATATCATAAAAAAAATAAGTTGAGGATTAGCAGACAACACTCTTTTGATAATATCGCTGATAAGTCCAGGGAAATTGATATTGGAAGACCTTCTCGTAGTATAAGCTTGAAAGAGCGAGAGAAACTTATTCAAAGTAGTCCATATGCAAGCATGTTTAGCGTTCCCTCGAGCAAACTGTTGAGCAACAAGGCCTCACTTTTAACTCATGCTCTGGAGGACAGTAAGCGGAGCAAGTCCCTGTATGCTGTGCACTCGGATGACAATCCCTTCCTGCACACCTATCGTGATGACCAGCACTTATCTCTTAGGCGAAGTCCAGCTGATCTTTATAAACATTCATTACCAACAAGAGGAAGAAATGATAATTATTTAAGGTCATCTATACAGTCTACAGCATCATACTCTTCCAGGGATGGTCGGATCCATAATGACATGTACATTTCAGAGCATGTTTTGCCTTATGTTGCAAATAGGAATAGCTTGTACTCAACTCCAAGGGTTTTAAATTCCTGTAGCAATACACGTGTGTATAAGAAAAGGCCTAGCATTGAATCAGATGTTTA